CACCCCCCAGGCCACCTTGCTGGTTTCCAGAGTGCACATGGCACAGCCATTCCCCAGGGGACAACTAGTGGCGGCACAAGGTGCACCACCACTAGCTGTCTCCAGGGAACCAAATGTCCATGCATGTGTGGACATGGCCTCAGAAATCAAATTACCACATTATACAATGTAATGAGCAAGTCTATACATACAATGTATCTGATTTTACAAGAGAGCAGCAGTAAGTACCATCATCTCTAACATTCAAGATTGGGTTCTGCATCTAAGCCATGGAAACAATTAAGAGCATACGTGTGTATCTTCAAGTACAATAATGTTGAGTAAACACTTCATATATCGATATCCTGATTTTCTACCTTTCATTTTCTTTTGGATGAGTAAGCTGATCTTTTGCCAGCTTTGTAATATCTAGTATACTGTTCATTGAAACCTTCTAAGGCAACATTAAAGTGATAATAATAAATTTGCAGAATTCCATAGTTAAACACATGGCCTTCTATCTGCCATTCCCCTGACACATACCTTCATCTAGAACTCCAATGCCTTCTGAGAACAAGGAAGTAGCCCCTATGTCAGGATCAGCAGCCATTCCTAAATCTTCTATTGTATTTACTAACTGAGACAGGAACAAAAACAACCATATATCAAAAATTCTTTAAAAGGATTGTTCTAAAGTGATTTTTTTTCTTAAAAATCATTTAACATTTTTCTTTTTCTCATTTCTTTTTCTTAATATTCTCATAGATTACTGGCAGTGGAAGAACCAAAGGTGTCGTATACAAGTCTTGCCCAGTGCTACACTACATGTCTTGCCCAGGCTTCTGGGCTTTTCTGGTTGCCAAATGGCGCTGGGAAGGGGGTTTTTTTCTGCTCCTTTTGCTAAATGTGCCAGGTTTTTTTTTCTGCCTCTCGCAGAGGCACTGGATGTTGGCTGCAGCCAAGGCTGGAGATTATACCTGGCGTGTGCCAATGCTCCTGCTGTGACAAAATTATGGAGGTTCCTGGCTAGATAGTCATGCCTCTATGCTCAAGATCAGACCAAACACCACACTGGGGCCAGGAAGCAATTTTATTCCAAAGTCAGACACTGGTATGTACTGGGGGGGGCGGGGGGGTGGCGGCGCTTCCTCTGTAGTGAGGGACATGGCCCTCTTCCTTGGATCTCTTGAGCATATTTTAATAATCCTTCCAGCAAAAGGATATTTGCCATTGTTGTCCCCCTCCTTTAACTGTGGCAGATTAGGGTGTTATGCATTGAAGATGTGTGACAGGGCTGATTGTTTGGATAGGGAGGATCCTGGCTCAGGCAGGGGGTTGGGCTAGATGACCTCCAGAGGTCCCTTCCAGTCCTACTTGTCTATGATTCTATGACTTACATATTCAACATTGAAGGTAAATGGACAGTATGTAATCCTTCCTTTTTTAAATATACAAACCTGGCTAGGAAATATATCATTACAAAATCTAAATTCTAATTTTAACTGAAAGACAAAACAAAATAATCTATTTCAAAAAGGGGAGCAGACAGACGGTCTAAACTCACAAGTTTAGTGTTGCTGAAATCCTTCTCCATGTTCTCTGCTATGTTCTGTAGTGCCAGCAGTTGTATATCCATTTCCTGAAGTTTTGTGGAAAGATATTCTTTGCTAATCAGTCTGGCTGACAGCCCTGGAGAGGGGATGGTGCTAACATCCTCATGCATCAGGTTCCAAGTCAGGCTGTCTCTGAAAGAATCTGACTTTATATTCTCTTCTTGTATTTGCAATGATACATGCTGGAGATGTTTATCTTGAGGGAAAAAAAAAGTGGGGAGGGGGTAGGAACAGTGTCACCTTCAAACTTTTCAATATTAAAGGTGTAGGCATGTACATGAGATTTACCTCCATGTTTTGAGGGGCAAACAGGATTAAAGAAAATGGTCTCTTTAGTATATAAATCTTCTTGCTCCCAAACCAAAGAAAAACATTCACCTCTTCTCATTATCCCAGAACCTGCAGAGATCTGGGGATCTGTCACAAGGGAGGGTTGGAAAATGTCCACTGTCCCTTCTGCTTGGCAACAAGTGGGAATTCTGTCAAGACATCACTGCATTTCACAGAGCCCTTTCACTACTGTGGAATCCTATCCCTTTTGACAGGCAACGCTCTAGCAGTGCAGGCTCCATTGCCAGGGGATGACAACAGTGCGAATGGTGAAGAATCACAGAGCGTCTCAAAAAGGGAAGGAGCTCAAAGGGAAAAACAAAGTGCAGAGCAACTCTGGAGTTTCTCAAGTGGAAGGGCTAGGGCTTGAAGGGAGTAGAAAAGAATGGAAAAATGGCTGAGGGTCTTTCAGATAGAAGGGAAATGGCACTACAATGAAAGTTTTTGTTAGCTTTTTTTTTTGCTAAATAAATAAATATATGAGTCATTGTTACCTTTTCTCTGAAAATCACTGGGAGGAACTGCATTAGTGACAGAGGCTGCCAAATGATGCAGTTTGGCAGAAGATGGCACTTCAAGGCTCTCAAGTTGTTGTGTGGCACCTATCGTTTCTGTAGATTCAGGTATGACAGGCAAATCCTTCAGGAGATCATTATCTTCAATGTCAATCACGCTGATATATTTGTGTCCAACCTGAACCACAGGAGAAAAAAATCAAAAAGCAATACACATCATATACACGTGTGGTAGACTGCTCATTATCTCCAACTCTAACCCATTTATTAGTTTAGGTGGTTGAATTGAACAAGATACTTTTTTATTCCAAAGACATAACTAAGTGCTTCTATAAGGTTTCATAGCTACTGGTGAGGTGAACTCAAGTACATGCGAATAATTACAAATAGCATGCTGAAATTCTTTTATGAGAAAAATATTCCTGAGCACTAACCAAGTCAGGTGTAGCATCAGGCTTCTCTTCTGCTGCAGGGGGAAACCTAAGGTTTAAGTACGCATCTGATGTCAACATCTGAGGGACACTTGAAAGCAATTGCTCTATAAAAGAAAGGAATTGCCACATATGGTAAATACTCCTGGCATATTTGAAAAACTATTTAGAAACAGACATGTACTTACTGAAGGATTAAAGAAAGCTTGTCATCACAGCACTTTACAAGACTAAGTGTACTTGATATACTATGTCATACTGTTATTTAATATTCATTCATCATAATTTTTAGAGCAAAATTAAAATAGAAAATGGTGCTATAGAACACTATAAATTATCACTTGTTTCCAAAACAGTCTCTTACTTAAAACTCCCCAACTTGATGTCTTGCTTTAAACACACAACATATTAGGGAAATAAACCCCGTAGAACACACATTATTTTGCAATGCAATAAATTACTAGAGCACAGAACAGCATGCCCAAAGTGGCAGTCTTAATCGAAAATGAACAAAACACGGCTGGTAACAATCATACTGACAAGAAAAAATTATCTGGGTGACTTAACAGGTCTGTCCCATCTCTGATTTCTATGGGTCTAGACAAATTTAATAAAATTATAGTAATCCTCCTTCTGCTAGCTATACATTCTAATTGGAAATATATTAAAATATTGGCATTAAAAGGGTATCTCCATTACAAATCCCCATATTCAGGTGCTTAAAACTGTAAAATCAAACAAACAGAAACCCCATGCCAAACCAAAAAAATCCTCACCATACACTCTCCTCTGAACAAATCACACCCCTTCACCTTCCCACCTACTCCCCAGAAAAGTTCTCAGCAAAAAACACAAATCAGATGCCACTTTGCAAAAACTAGTTTGAAAGATCAGAGGGACAACACCCTGAGGAAAAATACGAGAAAGAAGATTGCCTTTCTCAAGACAAAAGCATGGACTATGGACTTCTGAAGTGCACTCACAGAAATCTTTTCGTGAAATATTTATTTTATATTACAGTAACTACTGCTTATAGCAGGCATGTTGGGTGAACATGTATGACATTTCAAATATTAATCTGACATGCTCAATACTCCCAAACCACTACTGGACAAAGTACCACATTAACTTATTAAAAAATCATAAAATGCGACTTGCCAAACTGTAAGCGTAACTTCCAACTACTCATGCATATGTTATTGAGTGTTAAGTCCTATTTGCCTAACATAAACAGTCTTGGATTTCTTTAGGGGTATGGATTGTATTTCAACTTAACTTTCAACTGCTCATGTGCCTTCTACAATATACTGACAATTCAGCTAGTGGATATATTTATTTGATAAAATACAAAACTTATTTTTACAGAAAGCACTGACAATCAACAGATGACAAAGCCAGACACCACACCTGATGCAGGAGCAGAAGTGGCTGATTGCTTTTTTCCAGGCTCAGAAAATACATCTTCAGAGCCAAATTCGACATCCTGATGTGACCTGAGAACTTGATTGGTAAGAAAACAGAAAAATTAAAATGGATTAATATAAAGACAAGTAAAAAATGTTATGTGAAAACATAATACTTATTATCCATTAACAAACATTTTCAAAGAAAAGAGAAGTACCATATTTACTTGAAACCAAGGCACCTCTGAATTTAAGACAACCACCAAATAATTAGATTTTATATATGAAAAATTTAAAATGTTATAATTTTCCATGTCTAGAATCTAATTATTGGAAGGTCACTGTAAATTTGTGCCCCTCTCTCACTGCTACAGAAAAATGATAACGGTTAAAAACTCCAAATCACCAGAGGAAAAAACACTTCACTGAACCAATCTCTAACTTCTTCATACTCCTTGTTCTCAAGAGTAGCCTATAAAACACTTTCAGAAGATGGGCCTAGGGAACTAAAATTGATAACTGTTTTGGGCACTACAAAACACAGACTTTACATAGAAGAATGGTTTAATGGCTTATTTTATGGCTCATTTACTTGCTCCATGCACGTACCTCTCTATTCCACAAGTAGTAACAATTATCTTGGCTTCTGAATGATCTTATTCTTTGACATAATTAAGTTTAGCTATTTCAATAGCTCTATACTTGGTCTGTAACGACTTCTGATAGCTCCATAGGTGTACTACCCTCTTCCCTTTTTAAGTGATGATTTTCATTTACATAATGAAGTTAAACAAAAATAATTGTTCTACCTGGTATTTAGTGTAGGCTGTATCTGCTTCACTATAATAGCATGGTTGTAATTTTTTTATTTGAATATCTTCAGGAATAGAAACTTCTATTATATACTGTGAAATACGTATTTTCATTTCTACCTAAGAGAACTTTTACAATTTTTGCAATCTCCTACAATCTTTACTAACTTTTACAATCTTTAAAATATTCCTGATGATGGGTGCTTGTGCTCAAAAGCTTGCAAATAAAGAATTTTCTTTTGCAAAATATCTAGTTGATTTAATAAAAGTTATCACATCTGCCATTAATTTTGATTCCTTTTGCCTCTGGACCAGTACGGAAACAACCTGAATACCTGACTCATGGAAGATATCAAATTTTAGCTGCTTTTTAATATGAAAACTTGATAGTTTTACAAGAAGGAAGCCAAATTTACCACCCGAAACCTAGACCCAGTTCCTGCCTTTGTTTGATCTAATTTGCATTCTAAGAGCATGGAGATGCCTCTCCACAAAAGAGATTCCTGCCCAGAAGAGCATTTAATCTTTCCAGTCTTCTATGAAATATGAAACATCATAACCAGAAAGAATATGATTCAACATCCTGCTTACCACCAGAAAACTTTGAGGTAAAAAGACTTTTCCAACTTTTCTCTGAGCCCAATCTGCACAAAATGAACTGTTCCAAACAGGAAACTTTACTATACCTTCAGCTCTCCTGTGAAATATGAGTTTTCATTTTCTGCCTAGGAGAACTTTTACAGTCTTTGTAATCTCCTAAGCCTGACGAAGGGTCCCTGTGCCCAAAAGCTTGCAAATAAAGAATTTTTTTTGCAAATATCTAGTTGGTCTAATAAAAATATAAAACCTCAGCCACAAGTTTTGATTACTATATAATTTATACATTTACATTTTTAAAAATCACAATACCAAAACCAAATCTAACAATATTTTTGGACACGTTTACAAATAAAAAATGAGAAAATATTACAATACTCAAAAAGCAGTACTGGAAAATAAATGGCTGTAAGACAGTAAAGTAATAATAATGGTTGTAAGACAGTAAAGTAACAGCCAAAATGGGTTACAGCTGTCATATTACCTGGATCTGTATTTGTACTTGCATCTTGAACCTCTGTAGGCTTTTTCCTTGTGGAAGCCATGAAGTGTAGAGCTGCTGAAGTAGTGACAGCATCTCTGAGTGGGTCTAAAATGGTGTAAAATAAAATGATTGTATATAACTAAAGTAAGATGAAAGGAAAAATATACCAATAAGCTTCCTTTTATAATACAACTGGCTAATTTACCACTGCAAGTGTACTATTTCGTGTATTTTTAGACAAATTTAAGCATATTTCATTAAAAATGTTAAAAAAAATATTGGTAAAAATATTTCCCCAATTTCATTACTTATCTGAAAGGATCCTACTCCACTGAATTTTGGAGTTGCATCAACTTGAATCAATCCTGAATTTAGCCAGATCATGTTTAAAGGGAGGGGCTAGGGTGTGCATGTGTAAGTAACATATATGAGTGCAAGGATTTCTTAGGGTGATATCTTTTTTGGAACAACTGTACAGTATAGTTGGGATAGCTAGACAAGCTTCTGAATGGCAAGACATTCTTCTTTGGGTAATATAATGTATATAATACATGTGTGTAATACAGAAATTTAATTTGTCTCTATGTTCTAAAGCAAAATACATATATTTCTTTACTATTCATGTTCAGGGAATGGATTCTCTTTTTCTTGCTCTAGCAAGATTAGATATAATGATGACCTAATAATCCATAAAGAAAGATGACTACTCTTTTTTTTCCATGAATGTTCTTTTGCTCCCTTGATAAACAGCCAGTTTAAAGAAAGCATGTGTTTGGTTCATAGCCTTAGACACATCTTAGATTTTGACTTTTTTTTAAAGGAATATACATATACATACCAAGTGAAGTGACAAAATCATCTGCTAGATAACAGCTGGATTCTGTTTGCTGAACCTAATATGAGAAAAATGTGATTGATCTGGTTACAGGATTTCTTGATGCTTTTAACTTTTAAACATGTTGCCTTTGAGCAGGTTTTTAAAACTTATTAGAAAGCATAATTTCTCTACCTCCTTTCTTTCATTATGGCATTATACCTAGACAAAAATGGAATCAGACAGGTTGATCACTTAATTTTGTATTTTTTTTAATTGTGTTTTTTTCTTTGTTTGTTGTTTTTGATTTACTTAATCTTGGTTTGTATCACTCTTTATATGAATCTGGTCCTGATACTACCATGTTCACCTTCCGTCAAATTTAAAAGCAGCATAGGAGGCATTTGAAGAACAAACACAAAGAGAGTTTTACAATTTACAATATCACAGCCTATCATTGTATGTACTCATGTGTATAAATGTCAGCTTAGCTCCAAAACTGTATAAAACTGTGGATGCATTAGATTTTTTCCCAGAAAAAATCAAGGTGATCATAGGAATAACCATAAAGTGATTTTTTTTTAATGCTGATAAAATCCTTTTTAGCATCTCATAAGTATTTATTGGAAGCAAATCTAGTGATGTCTTGCACAACATTGTCAATGGCATCCTTTCATCTGCGAGAGACAATGGATATCGCGACCTATGACGTAGATGGTTTGCAGTGCCTCGTGTGACTGAACAGTCCAAATCTGAGATTTGCATGATCTGTGGCAATGGTTGCAAATGTATGCGTCATGGTTGGGTGGTTCAGGAATGCTTGCTTCCTATGGACTCTTTTCTCTTCAAGCTGTTGGAGTCAATTTCTGTCATGGGCTTTAATGCCCTGGTGGAGACAATGACGTCACTTGTTCTGATGCTTGCCAGGGTTTCCCATTGGCCAGGATCAATTCCAAATGCCTTCATCTCTCACGTGCATGGGTGTTTATAGCAAAGCTTGGGGTATCCTGCTATTCTTGTTCCCTCCAACAGTTCCCTACATAGCATGTCCTTGGGTATACGTGCATCTTCCAATCTGCTCAAATGGCCTAGCCAGCGCAGTTATCTCTGTCCAAGTAGGGCTGTCACACTTGGTACATTTGCCCTTTGAAGAACCTCTGCGTTGGGAATTTTATCTTGCCATTTGATGCTGAGTATGTGGTGTAAGCAGTGCAGGTGGAAGCTGTTTAACTTTTCTCTTGATGTGCACAAATTGTCCATGTTTCCCCACCATACATGTGAGTGCTGAGTACGCAAGCTTTGTACATCAGCATTTTGGTCTTGATGGTAAGCCTTGAGTTGTTCCATGCTCATTTAGTTAGTCCACTGGAAGTGGTGGCAGCCTTTCCGATGCGAACATTAAATTCTTCACCAAGTGAGAGGTTGGTGCTCACTGTGGAGCCTAGGTAGCTGAACTTCTGGACTACTTCTAGCTGGTTCTCATTAAGGGTCATTGATGGATCTTGTGGAACTCCCTGTCCTAGTACAACTGTTTTCTTTGTGCTGATAGTGAGAGCAAATGCTTGACAAGCTCTTGAAAGGCAATCCATGAGTTCTTGTAGTAGGTCTTTGTCATGGGCTATAAGGGCAGCATTTTCAGCAAATAGAAACTCCCTGATAAGCACCTTTCTAACTGTAGTGTTTGCTTTGAGTTGTGACAGGTTGAAGAGTTTCCCACTTGATCTTGTGTGAAGGTACACTCCACCTTCCATATCTTTAAACGTGCACTTCTGAAGTACCAAGAAGATTCCAAAAAGTGTAAAGGCATGAACACATCTTTACTTCACTCCAGTTTTCATTACGAAGCTGTCCGAAGTGGACCCATCAAACCAAACAGTTGCTTTCATGTTGTGGAAGGAATGTAAAAGACTTAACAGGACTTGTGGGCATCCTATCTTTTCTAGGACTGCAAATAGGCCTGCTCTGCTGACAGTGTTAAATGATTTGGTTAGATCTACAAAAGCGATGTACAGTGGTCGGTTTTGCCATCTGCACTTTTCTTGAAGTTAATGCAGGGAAAATATCAAATCCAGTGATGTCTTGCACAACATGCAAATATGCTATTCCAGTTTGATTATGCTACTTGTCTATTTCAATATTAACCAGCTTTCATGGCAATATATTTCTGTCTTTTCTAAATCTATATACCTCAGAGCAGCAGTAACCAACCAGCGACGTGTCACACTTGGCACAGGCAGCCTCTGTGTGGCACACAACAGATCAGGAGGGGACAGACAGTACAGCAGCAGATAGGGCAACAGATCAGGCAGAGGAAGGGGATGAAAGTGACATTTGGGGGATGGCAGGGCATCTTTTAATTTTCAGCTGAAACTTATATTTTCAATTTTGTTCCTGTCACCAGTTTCATATTCTTAGATACCACATATAATATTGGATAATTTGGTTTTACTAGAAAATGTGGTAAAGCATTTTACAAGAATAAAAACGATTTTTTTCTGCTAAAAGAAGAATTTCTTGGAAAAAAAAGAAGAATTAATGAAAAATGTGCGTGTGTTGGGAAGAGGCACGTGGTGTCACTTAGAAAGCGATAGGAAAGGGTATCTATAAGATTTATCAGGATATTTGGTTTAGTATCTTGTTTCTCTTGTATCAGTGTTTTAAAATATTAAAGAGGAAAGAAAGAATTATGACCATTTTCTTATACCTGTGTGTCTGTTTTAACAGCTACTTCTATATCGTCGCTACCAATAATAGAATCTTCTGGACGGAATGTCACACTTGTTTTTTTCTTTTCCTTCTCCTCTTTTATCTGATTCTCAGCACGCCTCTTCTGTCTGTTAAAATATTAATTACAGCTAAAAAAATTACCTCACTGATACTGGAAACATTTATCTTTCTAATAAGGAGGAAAAAAAACAGTTACTATCTTATTATATACCAGAAATTTGAGAAAACTAAGGTAAATGGAAAAAATAACTATTGGTTTACTGAGACTTAACCAGAATAGCATTTTATTGCCTAACAAAAACTAATATAGTTAAGCTACGTCTAAGTGCTCATAAAATATACAACAGTGAATCTGAAACATATCAAAATTTTCTTACCAAAATTGCATGCTGATTCAATAAAACATTATTTATGTTATTTTTTGCCTACAATGAAAGGAAAAATACTATACTCACAGAGAACCCTATAAGAAATGTTGTAGCATGAAATAAATCTACGTTTCTATCAATGAATAATTCTTAAGATGCAACTTTGTTCTACAGCTTATTTTAAACTCTACTGGCTTTTATAAGTTATTTTTGTTTATTTTGAGTTATTTTGCTCTGCAAGCCATCCTAATTGGTGAGAATGGTAGCATGTAAATCTAATAAACAAACACATATACATAACTTGTTTTCTTGAAAGAACTGTGAAGTTTCTTTAAAAATATTTAATGTCAGAGTTTTCAAAGGATATATACTGGCTTAAATATTATAACATACACAATTTAAAACAAGGTATTTTAAACTCCAGTTACTCTTTTACTTAGGTGTCAAAATCTAAGTTTAAGAGTGTGTTTTCAAAGCACTGTAAGTATTTCAAAGTACTGAAAGCGCTAAAACATATTTTCCCACATACAACACACTCCCAAACAAAATATGCACTTTTTTTTGGAAGGTGCACATATTGGAAGGCAGAATGTAGAAAAAAAAAGACTGACTGACTGACTGAGACAGACTCAATCCTCCTGGGAACACAGACAATCCATAAAGTGTGGCACCAAGAAGTTTCTGGTGCCAGCTGGACACTATGTTCCCAGGAGAACCTACTCTGTTCATATAAGGGTATCTCCTGACCTTTGCAAGCAGGGCTATCAACTATTAGTAAATTTACAGATTGTCAGTTAAAAAAAATTCAGGCTAAAAATGTCTATCAGTAAAGTCTGCAGAAAAAAACCAACAAAACAACAAAGAACTTCAGTCATCAGTAAAAACACTGTGCAGCCTCAACTTGACTGAAGCTCCAGCAGAGAACAGCAGCACCACCTGGTATGTGGGCGTAGCACCCTATAGGGAGTGTTTTCTCAGCCATGTACTGCTGCTGTTGTGTCCGGGGTTGCCTATACTACTACTGGGTGGCAGATAGGTTTCTGTGGGGGTCTGTGCTGGGATAGGGGGATTGGGTCCAGTGCAGGTAAGGCTGGGGGGTAGGCTGAGGGAAGAAGCATGCTGTAGGGTACAGTCAGGGGCATCAGTGTAGGGGAAACCCCAGAGGGGGACAGCACAGTGTAAAACCATTGCTGCAGTCAAACTGGTATGCCAAGCCAAGAAAAACTTTTTTATTGCAAACTTTTTACTGACAACCAAACATTTTTTTGTTTTAATGGTTGATGTTAAATTGGTTATGGTTGGCTATGGTTATGGTTGGCTATGGTTTGGCTATGGTTGATGTTAAATTCCAATTCGACCCTTCTAACTGGGACCTGGCAGCAGGACAGAGCCTCTCTGAAGAGTTACATTTACATTATATAAAATGTACATAAGTAAGAATGGGGGCAGGCAAAATACGGCCTGCAGGCTGGTCTAGCCTGCCAGGCCATTCTATCTGGCCCACAGGGCACCTAAAAAATTTACTAAATTAATATTTATTTGCTCCTAGCTGCCTGCCAAAGCTGACAAGGGCCAGGGGCAGTAGGATCCAGGGGGAGCCCTCAGCAGGCTTACAGGCTTGAACAACTTAGCCCTGCCACACCCCCAGCCAGTTGCCTGCTTCAGCACCACACAGCTGTGGCTCCTGGCTGCATCACTGGACTGCGGAGCATGGGACCGTGCTGGCACAGTGGGGAGAGGTATGTGTGTATGCAGGTTCAGTGGCTCTGTGCGTGGGTGCATTCATGCGCAGGCTCTAGCAGCGCGCGTGTGTGTGTGTGTGTGTGTGTGTGTGCAGGCTCAGGGGCAAAGTGTGCGTGTGCATGTGTGTGCGCGCATGCTCGGGGCAGAGTGTGCGCGCGCAAGAGCAGGGGTACAGTGTATGTGTGTGTGCAGGCGCAGGGGCACAATGTGTGTATATGCAAGCACAGGGGCACAGTGTGTGTGTGTGTGTATTCATAGGGTGAGTCCCACAAGCCCCCCCCACCACACACATGCCCCCCCCCCACACTGCCATACACAAACCCCAGCCACCCTACCCCCACACAGCCCCCTGGGCCCCATACCTACCCATACCCCACATATCCACTCACACCCACAGCCCCCCAAAACCTACACCCCCCCACAATATACAAGAGTAAGACTTCATTTTAAGCTATTGTGCAATCACCTCTATGTGCACTATACAAACATGTAAATCAAGTCAAAAACATTTTTAGAAATTAAATTAATGAAGGGGCTGTCAAAGTTTGCTTTTTAGAATATATAAACCATTTTTCCAGTTCTGAGATGGCAAAACCCCTTGCTGAAAAGAGTACTTCTGGGGGCAAGGGAGGATGTCTGGTGGCAAAGGTCAGGGGTTAGGCAGTGGGACTTCCGGTTACAAGATGGCGAGGCTACCCATGTGGCCTTCACCAGCTTGACAAAACTCAGTAAGTGGCCCTCCGCCCGAAATAACTGCCTGCCCCTGAGTAAACAACACGGTGTCAATAAAAATGTTTGGTTGTCAGTAAGAAGTTTGCAGATTATCAGTTACAATTTTTTTCTTGGGTTATCAACCCTGCTTGCAAAGACAGTAACAAGAATTAGTTCTTTGTTGTAAGCAGTTATTTATGCAAGTCCCTGTAAATAAAATGTTGTTTCCACATCACAAGCCTCATTAAGATTCTACCAGAAGCTCACTTACTGCTTCTGGCACAAGCTACAATGCTAAGCCAATAGCTATGGCTGCGAGAAGGTTAACACAGGACTCTGCTATCTTGGCATCTGTAGGACATGCACAATTTCTCCAGGCTGGTTTGTTTTGAAGTGAAGAAAACAGCTTCATTGCTTAAAACATGCATCGCAATTTGGGGGGGGGGCAGTTTTGGGAAAAAGGTGACTATCTATGTGAGAAAATGTGATAATTGCAAAAGGGACACACTGCTCTGGGGGATTTGATATCATTCTCTCTTTCAGGGTAAACAGAATTATTCTGAAGTTTCTTGACAACATCTATTGACCCTACAGCAGTGGTTCCCAATCTGTGGTACAGGTACCCCCAGTGGTATGCAGACAACCTGTCAGTGGTACATGTTAACAGATTTATTATAATTACTTTATATGATAAAAATTTGCTGGTGGTACTTAAGATTGTATCATTTTAAATTGATGGTGTGTAATTTGGGAACCACTGCCCTACAGAACAACTTAAAGGCAAGTTGAAGCAAGTTTAAACATCGCTCTATTGTTTGCACTTTCTAGGTGATTAATGATCCAGGTTAATGCAAAGTAAAAACCACCTGAAATCATGACATACCCAGCAAAAGAAAATTAGCTGAGATGAGAGTCCAATCTTGCATTGACTTAAAATCAGTGGAACCTTTGTTCTCTCTGCTGGATTCAGCAGACTCAAAAATGAGGAAAGTTTCACAATCTTATCCTCAATTAAAATCAGACATGCCATTTAATGGTCCACTTTTTTGAAAACTACAAGTTCACTAGCAACGGTGATCATTTTGTGATGCAAAATAGCTGATGACAACCAAATCACTTCCTGCACAGACTCAGTACACAATGAACGGTCAAGAGAGGGTAACAAAAATGTACACCACAGATCTAGAAGTGAAACATTCTATATTCCATTATCATCTTTCTCATATTATTTAGTGTCCAATTGTTCTCACTGCAAAAACTTCTACTGACATCAAGGGCAGAAGGCTCAGATTACCAGTACATCTCTGCAAATGAAAAACAAATCTTGAAAATTTGTCCTTGCCTTTTTTTATTATTCCGTAGATGTCTTGATTCAAATGATTCACTATCAGCTTTCAACAACTGAATTGGTTCAGAATGCTCTTGTCCAACAAGGGGACATGGTGCACTGATATGTTGGCGCCTTTGCTCAAATGCAATGAGATTTTCAAGTGGGATGAGTTTTGGTGCTTGGAACTGTTCAGAGAGAAGGAAAATGAGAAAGCTGTAAAAGAGAAATAACAACAAATCCAGAACAGACTGGATTACACTACATAGCAGGTTCAGTCTAACCTCAGGCACGTGGCTGCAACTCCTATTGAAGTAACTGGAAAAAAAAGCAACCAAATAATAGCAGCCAAATCAAGATCTTGGAATTGAAATTAGGGAGCAGATTTTTAGATTACTACACAAAATAATGTAAGAGACAGATAGGTGCAGACACAAGTAACAACTGAACCATTCTAAAATATCACTGATTGGGAACCGGTTCAAAATTTTTGAAATGCCATGGCTTCAATACCAGGGGGTAGAAGTGAGCACTTACTCCTTGCAGTGGGCAGGTGGGAGGGGATTACTAGCACCCATGCTTTTGGAGTCCTAGGGGTGGGTGACCTGTGTTTTGCGACATCGTCAATTTTCTGCTTTCCCATTTCCTAAACATGGGTTCAATAAACTTCAAAAGCCTGCAAATGGTCAGGCTGCAATGTGCTTACCTGAGTTGGTGGGGAGGGGGAAGAAGTGCTTGGACCCACACTTGGTTTTCAGGGGCTGAGGGCACATGCTGAGGGTTTGTGGTCAAGTAGGGAACAAGGACACAGCTGGTTGTTAAAAAGATATCTGTTACTGAACAACCAGTCCAAGGCAGCTCTTGGATAAAATGTGCAAACAGGGGGGGGGGGCGGTGGAGAAGAAGGGAGGGAGCAGAGTTTTGGCTGTGCACTAGAGGGGTCAGTTGCAGTAGTAAGGGCTTGGGGGGTGGGAGTGGGGGGAATACCATTTGGGATGCCTGGAGAACTAACTGGAACCATGTCACAGAATGCTTGGTGTCCACGTGCCACACTAAATCAGTTCAATGAACTGGTTCAAAACTACTTGATTTTCCACATACACTTTTGAACTGTTTCAGAAAGATTTAAACAGTAGTGTCTGTCTGCTTCAGGTTTAAACTGCAGCTAAACCACCCTAAGGATTACTGTATTTACCTGATTCTAAGAAAACTTTGATTTTAAGATGACTGTTCCCCCCCCACCGGGTGAAATTAGATTCTATATATGGAGAATTATAAGTTTGTTATAATTTTTCATGCTTAGACTCTAATTAGTGATAGGCCATTTTCAATACATCCTTCCCACTGCTGTGACAGGGACAGCAGGGGCAGGGGCTGAAGGGTCACATCCCTGCCCATCAGTCCCCTGCCCCTTGTCATCTCACACCTAACCCCCTGTTGCCTGCCCTCTACATGCAGCCCCTGCCACGCTTCCCTTCCCTTCCTCCATGCCTGCCCCCGCCACTCCATACCTCTCTTAGCCCCTGATCTGCCTGAAGCCTACCCCCTACCAACTGCCTTCCCCACCCCTGCTCCCCCACTGCCTCCTTCAGCCTACCCACCCCCACTTTGCTCCTCTGTGCCTGCTCCCTCCATTCCTTACATATCCCCCATTTACCTCCTGCTGTAGTTCTGCTTCTCCGGGGAAGACAACAGAAGCTGGACCCAGCCCAGCCTAACAAAGGAAAAGCCACAGCAACTCCTGGCTGGGCCGGGTTCCTTCCAACCCTGCAGTCTTTCCACCTGTGTGCCCCCTCCCCCACCAATTCAGCCATGCTAATTGGGAGAAAAACCTGTCTTGGATTGGAAGAGTGTAGAAAGAAATATTGCTGTTGGTTGCTGCTGGAGCTCAGACCTTTAGTTCCTTTAGCTGTCTGACTTTATGAAAAATCCTTTTTTTGGCACAACCTTTCCCAAAAACATTTAAATCTCTAAAACATTTAACATTTTGAAGTATGCTACTGAGGATGAAGGAAATGCATAATGTGGATGTGATTTAAAGGAAATTCAACTCTCTGGACAGAATCTTTTTACCGTTTAATATTCTCTGCCCTTGCAAATTTCTAATAATATATTACATGCTAGTATTATATTGAAATCTATTTACTGTACAATCAGAAATCTACCTAATTATGTTTGCTGTTAACAATCTCTCTCCTCATTCTTCACTAGTGGATGAATCCACCCCTCTACCTGTATGGAATATGATGGCAGTCTAATATTGCTGGAGGCTCTAGTACCCAGTCTCTCCCTCAGTCCAGACAGCTGGAAGATTTCTGGGTAGCCTGGGATGCAAGGATGTATGTCTGGAACCTCCAGTAATCCTGATGGACCACCTCTGACTTCCACTGGGGGGAGGCCTTGCCCCATTACATGATGGGTGAAGATAGAGGTTGTACAACAAAGAAACAAGACTTATTTAATTGAACCACAGAAAAATATTACTAATATCTATTACCTTGTATTTTGGAGGTAAGTTATGATGAAGAATTGCTATTCCTGGGTGATATATTGTGTTCCAATCAGCCTCCTTTGTTGTAGGTCTAACAGTTATTAAAGAAGTATCAGTCAGTTGTCTGATAATTGGTGGAAATCTAAGTACAGGATCAAGCTGCAGATGTAGTAGAGGAATTCCAGATGGACATTGGGAAGTCCCACAGAAGGAAACATGCTGAGCAATCAGTGGCTTTTCTGCATTCATATTTCTAGAGAGGTACTGCTCAGGTGCAACATATTGCTGACCTTCATACTGATTTACATGTAGATGTTTAGGAGGTCCCTTACTTACAGCTTCTGCCCACCTCTTCTTTTCCTCATGTGCTTGCCTTATAAATTCAAGGTCGTACTTATCCACATTCAGGTGTGCTGTTGTAGACTTACTCTTGTTTCCTAGTGTTTGTAATGGTTGAAGGTTTTGTAAGGCATCAGTTGGACCCCAAGCCACTTTTGGTTGTAGAAGTGGCATGGCAAAAGCTTGTGAAATTCCTACTGGACATACATTGAGTGGTTTGAAATGATAATCTGATTCAAGTGTAAGCAAAGGATATCCACTTGCATAATTTGAAGTTTTTGAGACTGGAATAAGTTTGTGTGGCTTCTGGATATCTGGAGAAGGAGATAACAGATGAAGTGGTTTGGCTGGAGCTGAAGGAAGCAAATCTTGAGATGCTGGAGTAAATCCTATTCCATGAGATTGGGTCTCTGATGGGATTAAAGAAACATTTCTGTCTGACCGATTCTAGATGAGAAAAGAACATACACCAGCTGTTTAAAACATGTATAAGACAGCAGTGAATTTTTTACAACGCATGGTTCCTACTGGATGGGACCACTGCATTCTAATGCAATTATTACAGAAAAGTTCCCTAATTTTAAAAAGGATTCATTTAGTTGATGTGCTTTCTGTTCCAAGAGAGAGAGGTTTTCTTTTACCTACCTGTATATTTTCATTTTTGCCTTGATCATTTATGACATTTATTTGCTGGGAGTGAGAGCCACTCTTTTTGTCAGACTTTCTAGTATTTTCTTGACCAGAGAGCTGAGTTTCTGGAAAGCCATTTGAAGAATAGGTAGGAAGAGATTTTTCTACACCTCCAGCAGCATGTGAAAGCTGGCTTCCTCCCAGTGGAACAAATTGAGACTGCTGCAAAAGGTGCTGCATATTTGGCAGGTTGGCAAAGGATGATCCCACTATTTGCATTAAACTCATAAAGTTGATTTGCTGCAGCTGGAATATAAACAAAATTAAGATGACATTTATACTACATATTAAATTGGGCCTTGGTCATAAAAATCCATTGTTAGACACTGTTTATAGCTGCTATTCTGTTAAAACTGACAAAAGATAAAAACAGACTGATCTTTTAATGGCAATTTTGTACTTAGCCTGTACCATGAATTAGCATTTCTTTTATGGTAAATTAAGGTATCTGTGATATAATGAGTTTGCTGTAACAACATAAAACTCTTTGTTTTTCTTTACTTAAGTGAAAGGAAATAGAATCTTGAAAAATATCAAAGTGGAATAGTTTCACCTGCACAAGTTAATTCATTATCACTTAATGACACAGTTACTTAGGTTGAGAACTTCCCTTAATGTACATGAATGACACACATTAAGTGAAAATTAAGTACAGCTAGTTTTCCTACAAAACTTTTGAAACTATTTTCACACTTCTAATCATTGAGTCAAAAACATAAACCTGGAACCCATAAAAGAAGTAAGGAATAGCTTTGTTTTTCAAACTGCATAGTCTGTGTAAATTATTTTTTTTAATAATGAGACAGTCTGACCTGAACTAGTTTAAACATTTCATCTTGGAGCATCTGTCTGATAGTTTCTGATGTGTTCAGTGGCTCTGCTGTGGGTGCTCCTTCCTGGACTTCTTTTTCCTCTGAATGAACTGAAGCATGGGAATAAACACTTGACTCAGCAATGGAAGAAGGCTGATCATCGCATCCAGAAACCTCTGTACTACTGGACAAAGGGTGTTGGGTGGAGAGAATGGCATAAGTATTAGATGCTGTAAAAATATTTGGGTTCAGAACATCTAACCAGAAAAATTTCAAAATGATCCAGCAACTTTTAAAGATACCTGCAATTTTCTAAATCAATTACTGAAAAACTGTGTCCTAGAGATAATCTTAATTTATTAAGCTACCTCAACCTTCACTAGAAGGTTACAATTAGTATACTTTTGTACCTTCAGTGCCTTTCAGTATGCTGCAAAGACAACAAGATCCACGTGATTGTAGTCACACAGATAGTTGAAACATTCAATTTGACACAGTTAAAGGCAGAATAATGGAATGCCAAGATAAAATGAGAGCCAGAGTGAGAGAAGTGTTTCATTTGTTAGTAATAATGCAAGAAGAGCTGAAAACTGATGGACAAGGGGATTCATTAGCAAAAATATGAGACAGGGGGAAATTACTTTCCTTTAGGTTTTTCAAAATGTATTAATACATTTGGAGGTCTTTTTTCAAACAAAAATATTGTATTTTCAAACCAAGGAAGGCATTCTTTAGCATTAAAAACATTTCCTTTTTCTAAAATGGGTAACAACTGATATAGTTTATTAATAAATTCTTCAACTAAATGGATTGTCAATGTTTGGAAAATGCTCACAGCAGTTTACAGGCAAGCAAGAACTATCTGTACTTTGTTGTGAAAAACTATATTACATAAATAATTTTAGTGTGTGCTGGAGTGAGGTAACTGGTGGTCCAGGAATTACATGAGAGGCAAGCATTTCTGTGGGTGATATCTTTTATTGCACCAAATACATTGTTGGGATAAAGTTAGACAAGCTTGCATTTAAATCTCATCAGAAATGGTCAGACCTTTGCCTTCCTGTTTCACAAGATACATCTCTAATACTAAAAGAAAGGTACTGTAGTTTTCTCACTATAAATCACTCTATTCCACTCAATTTGTTCATCTCGGTTCTACCTTTTCACCTCTCTTGAAATTCAGAAAATATCTTTTTGCTTACAAGCGGGTCAATTTTGAATCAGAGGAAAGACTATAATCAACTGGAATGACCAATATCACTTCCTGTAGCAGCTAACAACTCTAATCCTGTTGCTTCAGCACATATTCTGGCTAGAGCCTTTTCTAGAGTGTGTGTTTTGATAGGACCATTGCACAAAGTAGTACAGCTATGGATTATATAACACAATGTAAAGTGAAAACAAATATGGAACCTGGGTTTTCGGTTGTAGCCATAGGACATAGGTAGGCAAGGTTCTTCAAGTAGATGTGATATTTTTTATTAGACCAACTGAGTATTTGGAAAAAAGTTCTTGGCAAGCTTTTGGGTGCAGTCACGCTTCTTCAGGCATAGGGATTTTCTGCTGCTCTGAGATTCTAAGGAAGACTCCCTATGCCTAAAGAAGGGTGACTGCACCCAAAAGCTTGCCAAGAACTTTTTTCCAACTACTCAGTTGGTCTAATAAAACTACTCAGTTGGTCACATCTACTCAAAGAACCTTGCCAACAAATATGGAATACTTTTATGGTAAAGAATCATATCTCACCTAACGATATAAAAACAGGAGATTTAATGGGCATAAACCATGCTTTTTCATGTAAAG